GAGGATGTGATCAGCTTCAGTGGGTGCGTTCATGTACTCCTTCCTTGATTGTTGTTGCTGTTGTTTATTTTTCTCATTACTTAGTAAATTGAAAGCACACAGGCGACAAGGTGAACCAGCATTATGTCAACTAGAAATGCGTACACTTTTGCTAGTCATTCCTCCTGAAGCCTGACCTATTTACAGTCAATCATGAGCCTAAACATGCATTTTTTTAGCATCTCTGACTCCTTGATAAATGGTCAGGAGGCGACATTTTCTACTACCAAAAATCCGGAAGGCCAAGCGGTTGGTCCAGACACTTCCACATATCCGCATCTACTGTCACAATCGACAATAGTGCACCCAATTTCCAGGGCGCCGCAACAACTCCCACGTGATCGAGCCAACTCAGTCGACAACCATGTGCTTCGATCGCTTTACTCTGTGGGCGGGGAGAGCAGTTCTCGAGGAATTTCCTCTGCGTCGTCCACATCACCAATCCATCCAATGGTGCCGCCACACACTCCCCAACATTCCCCAATGGACAATACGTCTCAGGCCACCACCTCCTCAGCCTCGTCTCGAAGTAATGGCCTACTCTATAGCCTCCTCGTGTCTGCGGATTCACGACCTCCGTCTTGCCGCCTGAAACAGCCTCTTGCACCATCTTCGTCCAGCACGTCTTCCACTTCGGAGCCAAAAAAACATAAGCTGGAGGACCCAACACAATGGTGCGTTGCTGGAGAAGAATTTAAAGCCTCCTTCAAAAGGTCTAATGAATTGCCTATCATTTCACTTGACTTCAATTCCATATTTGATCGAGGCGTTGAACCAAACGTGGCAAACAGTGTACCGAGAACACCCACTCTTCCCGACGGCAACACTTCCGTCCACTCTATTTCCTCATCACCCATTGCTTCAACCCATTCTAGTTCACCAGGTCTCTCTTCACCATCCAGTGACTCAGGGCTCGATGAACCGTTGGACCTGACCCCGAGCAGGCCACCCAACGAACCGATGCAATTGGCCAAGAAGACTGCTAGTCCGGTGCAAAGAAATGTCTCCGAGTTTCTCCGCTTAGCGGCAGAATTTGTACACTCCAGCAACCCTCTGTCTATGCACTGGTGGGATGTGTACAAGGCGACATGGCATCGTCTGCTCATACTTGCTATTGCTGAGTACCGTGTGGATGTGGTGGTGGTGAAATCACCTCACGCCTTCGAACGTCTGGCAACGGGAGAGCCTGTGTTACCGTGGCTGAACCTTCCCTCCGATCCCAGCACGCTTGTGCCCACCCGAGAGTTTTCTGATCGGGTTATTAATTGCATCAATGAGGTGCGAAATCAAAATCTCGCTCCCAAAGAGTACAAAATCCTGCGGAATGCTGTTCTTTTCACCGGTATGTTGCATTTCACGACGACGCTTTTTGAATGGTTTGTTCTTTTGCTTGTCAGTGCAATGACTTTCCTTTCTGAGAGTAGTGGAGAAGGCGATGATATGACTCTTTCTGATACTTGGTTTATGGGGGCCTCCTCTTCACACAGCCATTTGACCTGACCGCTGTCCATTGGGCTTTTGTCCTTCCCACGAGGCTTTAGTCTCAGTATTTCTCTTCTGACCCACGCTTTTACGCTGCCTAAAAGTACACTTGACAACGCATTAGTGACGTTATTTCAACTACTCCGGTCTCCTATTCAGTAGATGTTCGTTATCAGGGAGGTGCATTGATTTCCATGTAGTCAGTTGAAGGCTACTTTGTTGTGGATCCGATCTCTACAAGAGGTGAATCATTGGAGGTATTTTTCTCCTGTCAGTAGGCACTCACAAATGGCCGAAAAGTGGGTTGTTGCTACTTCACAATTTGGTGAATGTTGAGTGTGTGTTTACCCACCTCGCCACCTCACGTGATGCAAACAGCCCTCGACGTATTCATTCCTCCACACTGTTATTCCCTCTCTCTCTTAACAAAACAATTGAGCCACGCCTACCACCACCGATGTAGCCGAGTCCGCACGCACCGACTACACAGTCCGACTGAGGAGAGACACGTCAGTCAGGTAACAGCAACGCTTTTTTTGCGGCAAGCTGATCTAGCAGAAGCGTTTATGCCTTTCCACCTGTGAAAATGAGCCTGCGCACCCGACGTTTCTACTGTTGAATCGATTCAAGCACCAAGTGAATCATCCACCGTCAACGCGTATTCGCAGGTACGAACACGAACTCGGTTCGCCGTTCCCGATTGTGGACTCCTGCGTGTGCGTGTGTGATTCTCTCTCCTAACTGGGCTAGGTGAGAGTCTTGCCTGTGCCTACCGTGTGCATGTGACCTCTTAGGCAACACCGATGGCTCGGGGCCCGGGGTGGCGATCCAGTCCAGCCACCCGCCTTTCACACTTTCATTCCACAGACCATAGGTACGCACTAGTAACTCAAGTTTTGTTTTCGCTCACAACAGTGTGTGACTTGAGTCACCACCTCGTTGTGTGTTTGGTAATCCACATCTCTCTCTCGCTCTCGCAACTGAATTGAGCGTGGATAGAGTGGGTGGCCGTGTTGTGTTGATCGTTTTGAATGACATCAACAATTTGGCCTTCGACTCTCCTCTTCACCCCACTCCACCTCCTTCCATCTTTGTCCAGCAATCGGGCCAATCGTGCGAATGCCCACGCGGCCGTGTTTGGCCAAGTGCCCGCCCACCCATCCGCCTACACGCACGCACTTACCTCTTGCGTCAGCCAATGGCGGGGCCAGTGGGTGAACGAAAATATCTGCGTCCTTGAAATGTATCTCGTTCTTTTTGCCTTTTCTCGACGTTGAAAGGTAGGAAAAGTGGTGGCAAGAAATGATGGGAGCAAGTAGGAGGGCACTATCTCTATCGCCTGGAGCGACGAAACAAATGCACTTTTATGCCTCTTTTTTCCTCACTCGTCATTTCAAGCCTTGGTAAAAAAAACTTTTTTTTTACGATGACTGACTTGTCGATCATGCATTCTATTAGCATGGCGAATGCTATTAGGCTACTTTCTACAAGCACTGTACACGTAAAATAATTGTTTCACAAGGATAAGGTGGATATTAAAGAGCAAAAAGCGGTGATTTTTAAAGTGAGAACCATAATAAAGTCGGTATTTCGGGTAAAAGTCATCAATTTTGTGATGAAAAGAGAAGCTGGGCGTTGTTTTGTCTAGTTCTTCGCCTATACTTGGTTCATGTACTTCGATGCGCAGAGACACGTGATTGCGCACTCATTTTTTGGACACTGGTGTCTCTACTGTCCACTAGTTTCTACTCATTATCTATTTGCTTCTGCAGCGACTCAGCCATCAAAATTGGCAGAAGTGGGAGCAAAGACGCTTCAGAAGGCGCTAGAAGCCAAAATGGGTTGCCCCATGGACAATGGAACGGCTGGATTAGCACTATATTCCGTGACATGCGCTCTCATTGCTATGGAGACCCTTCCCATGGCCCCGATTGCGGGCCTCTTCTGTGGCCATTTGAGGGGAGAAGCAAGCAAAGACATCCTCTCGGAGAAACTTCGCGCATCCATACAAAACTACTCCAGTCCTGGAGAAAGCATCCTCGTAAGGTTGGTGTGTGAAACTCCTCAGCCGGTGTCGAGGGAGAACCAAGCAGCTCCATCCGCACCACGAATTCTCACCTCAGGATTCACGTCAATCCCTCCATCCACTTAAAAATTGGGCTTCGTGTGCTGCTCCACCATTTTGGGCGCCGCCTTGCTGCATTTGACTTGAATTCCTCCGTGAGACGGAAATTTTTCTAATCCAACAAATACGTGAATGTCAGGGTACATTAACTCGCCTTACTCTTATCTATTTCCGTCTTCTTCCTCACCTCCACTTTTCTTCTTTTCCTGCTCTGATCGTGATTTATAGGTCTCCTAGTGCATAGTATGTATGCTATTATCAATCCCGCACTTGACACCCGGTCTTAGTCTCCCTTAGTGGAGCGTGCTATACATCCGGTTGATTTATGTTCCGTCGTTTTTACATTTAATGTACTTCACATTTTTTTCCTCCTTTTTTTCTCCAATCCACGCACCATTTACCTCAAAGACTCGCTTACCTGCCTGTATACGTGCGTGTATGTATGTATTCTCTTCACGGAGCCTAACATAGGGTTACTTGTGATCCAATGACTGTTTTTTTAGTGAAATAAACTGTATGCTTAACGCCAGGCCTTATCCACACGTGAAGTTGGGAGACCTGAATCGGTGTAACTAGGACGCGGTTGGGGGTGCCGTGCAACGGCGAGTTGTGGAAACCGCCTTCACTAGTACATCTGGATTTATAACATGTCGCTTTCTGATCAACGGGTACAGGAGGTTAGAAGAATGAAAAAAATGCATAAAATTTACTGCAATCATTATCAAAATCTCAAAGTCCCCATACTGGGCTGTTTAATCCTA